ATATATATATGTGTGTGTTTTATTAGTTCATTGTCTATGCTTTTTTAATAATAAAAAATTTTAATAAAACCAAATTTATAGAAAATGTTTTGAGGACCCCAGTTTAAGAATCTGTTTTAAAATAAAAAAGACCAATAAATCAATGTAAAATGCACTAATCAAAGATCTGTGCTGCTTCAGTTTCAAACAGGTGTTTTTCTACTTGTCTTTATTTTAAACTAAACTTTAAACCGAGGCAGCAGCTCAGATCTGCACAGGAATTCTACTTCCTGTCTGCTGACCAATAGGAGAGGAGCTGACCCAAGAAGCCCCACCCACCTTGTTTACATTAATGAGGCAGAAATGCATCAAGTAAAAACGGGAGACAGAGAAATGTAAAAAAATAAACACATGAAAATAAAAGACTTGTAGAAATAATTAAATATAAACATTTAAAGAGACAAATACATGAAGAAGTAAATATTAGTAAAAACTGTAAAGCTGAGCTGTAAAAGTAAATATGAAGTTAAATGATAAAACATTAAGTTCTCTTTTAATTTAATTGATGCATTTTAAGTATTTATTTCTGATTTTATTCCTAGTTAAGTTCCCCCCGACCCACATTAAAGAACCTGTTGGTCCCAGGACCAGGACCAGGAGCAGAGTGAGTCAGAGACCAGCGGGACCAGAACAGAGTTTATTCAGAAACAAAACCAGGACTACATGAGTCTGAATCTACGACTGATTAAAAATCAAAAATAAAATTTCCTACGACTCGGAGCTTCGCTCCGTTTTTACAAACACTAATCATGAAAAACGGGTCGGGATCAAGGAGACCTGTGGGACTACTTATCAAAAACCAGGGGGCGGGGGAATGTAAATACAGGACTGGGGGGTCACAGGGACCGGGGATCAGACACAGTCCAGGACCTGAACTAGGAGCGGGAGCGGGAACGAGAGCGGGACTGGGATCGAGACTTGGAACGGGACTTGGAGCGGGATACAGACCGGGAGGCGGATCTGGAGCGGGAGCCAGCTTTAACAGGAGAGGCGGATCGGGACTTGGACTTGGATTTGGACTTGGCTCTGGGCTCGTCGGGGGAGCGGGAACGGGACCGGGAGCCCCTCTCGGGCTCGCCTGCCTCGTTGTCGCTCTTCGGCTCCTCGCGGCTCTTGGAGTCGGACTTCCCAGCGTGATCTTTGACCTGTGACCTGGAGCGGGACCTGGAGCGCGAGGCGGACCTGGACCTGGACCTGGAGGACTCCTTCTTGCTGGACTTGCCCTCCTTCTTGCTCTTCTTGCTCTTGGGGCTGCGGCTCCTGCTGTGCTCCTCGTCCTTCTGGGCGCCGTTGTTGCCCTCCTCTTCCTCCTTCTTGTTCTTCTTCTTGTCCTTCTTGCTGTGGGAGCGGCTGCGGGAGCGAGAGCCSGCCCTGTGGACCCACAAACACCGGGTCAGAACACCAGAACCTCTCTAACAGGAAGTGCAGGTCCAGAGTCGGACTGATCAAATGTTTCAGTGCTGGTCTGGAGACAAAGCTCTGATCCAAACATCAAAGACACACGTTCAACCAGAACCTGACAAGGTGTGACGGCTCACCTGGAGCGGGACCGGCTGCGGCTGCTGCTCTCACTGCGGCTGCGGCTCTTGTGGGACCTGCGACTCCTGGAGCGGGACCTGCAGAGAGACCAGCACCAGGGTCAGGTTTCTGGATCTGAAGCCGGTCCAAACGTGGACCCAAACCCTGGACTCTGACCTGGAGTGGCTGCGAGAATAGGAGCGGCGCCTCCTGGCCCCGGGCCGGTCCTCGATGAGCCGGATCTTCCTGCCGTTGACCTCGGTGCCGTCCAGCTTCTCCAGGGCCCGCTTCATGTCCGAGTACTGCCTGAACTCGATCACGCCCTCGTTCTTCCTGCCCTTGTGGGTGTCGGCGTAGGTCACCTCCCCCGCCTGCCTCATGTAGTCCTGCAGAGGGACCAGAACCGTGAGGACCTGCGTGCTGGGGGTCCTCACCCCCCACCCAAACACACAGTTACCTTTAAGTCCTGCCAGCTGCAGCGGCTGGAAAGATTCTCAACAATGAGCCGATAATCGGTGCGTACAGGGGGACCGTAGCGGTCTCTTCCTGCCCAGCGCCCATATCCACCTTTCAAGGCAACAAGCAAACAGAAACCCAAATGAGCAGCAGCAGGAAACTGAGCTGCTGTATCAAACTAAAGTCCAGCCTACAAACTACAGTCAGTCTAATATTCTCAGGGGGAAAGGGAAACAAAGGGGAAAAGCAAAAGGAGGAAAAGATTTACAAAATAAGACTTCAAGGCTAAAAAAAAGACCTTACTACTCTTCCTATAATTCTGCATTTTTAAACGTTTAAGCCAACACAACAAGTGCAGATGTTAAACTSTGGTAGAAGTTCAATTGGCCTGATTTAAAAGAAGGATAAAATAAATAAAGCAAATGTCTAAGCTATCCTAACTAACAACATTTAGCTGGTAGAAAACATGTTGTTTTTCAGGCACCTATGAGAGCTGAACCCACATCTGCTCCTAACCCCATGGCATCCTCACCACCGGCCTGGGCCTAATGGGAAGGAAAAGCGGTCTTCATTCACAATGGCTCCCCTTTTTGGTCTGCCCGGGGGCCCAGAATGGTCAAACCACACTCTTGGAAAGGGGGGACACCATGGCCAGCAATAGGGGCAGGCAGTCAGCAAAGGACTCTTTCAATTAAAACATTGAGGTTCTTTGTTAAAGCTTTACCTTTAAATTGACAATCATTTGAAATGAAAATATTGGAATAAAACAACAACAGATGACATCATATGTGACAAAAATATGTAACAGTATTAAAATTAGCTCAGTCATGTCCCCATAATCATTACCATTAAAGTCATTTATCACAGAAACATTGAAGCTGTTGGTGGCTCTGACGCTCAGACACTTCTTCACTTTATGGAGGGAACCTCAGAGAGCTGCAGCCCGGTGGTCCCAGACCCAACCAGTTTCTGCTCAGGTACTGGTTCAGGATTCCCACGTGGCTTTAATTTGGTTTAATTCAATAAAAAATAAGTTTAAGTCCTGAAATCCAATCAGTCTGACTGAGAGAGTAAATATAAACATTACAGCTCTGAGGGGCTCGACTGGATCAGAATTTAAGACGTGAAATCGACGCCGACGTCAGCAGCCACCAAGAACAAACCCCGCCCCAAATCAGTGACATCATCACGTGAAACGAGCAGACACTTTYCGAAACACTCACTCCGTCCGCCGCTGTAGCCGCCGTCGCGGCGGGGACCCTTGGTGTGCTCCACGACCACCCGCTCCCCGCACAGGTCTTTGCCGTTCAGATCGTACACGGCATCGTCGGCGTCCCGCGGGTCATCGAACTCCACAAACCCGTAACTGCAGACGTGGAGAGACACATAAACCTGACTGATGTTTCTGCWGAGTCAGCAAATGTTCAGGAGAAAACAACGAAAATATAAATTATCTGTTATGAGTTCAAATTTAATTCAGAAAATAAACAATGCATGAATGTTTAAATACTTAAAGGACATTAATTAAAGAGTTATGCTGCAAAAGTGAAGAAATTCACCCAATCATCTGGTTAACAGTTAAAATTAAAACATGTCAAAATAAATACTGAAAAATCAAATGGCTTTAATAAACAGACAATTTGAACAAGTAGCTAAGCAGGATGTAAAATAAATGTATGATTATTTAATTTTTTTAACAAAAAAATAGAATAAAATAAAACTATGGATCAATAATTTTTTAATAAATATATATTTTTGTCATCCAAATGTTCCTGATACATTCAGCAG